AGAAAAAGTTATATGAGCGTTTTATGAGCATGGGATTTTGACCCCTCATATAAACATATGCATAATGCTGCACTATACTTTGCGGCCACACGCCGTTGCCAAGCAACGCTTATTGTTTATGTCCTTTGACACGCAGGCAGTCATATAATTAACTAGAACTATCTAGATCTGATGGATTTTAACATAAACGTGAGTGAAGTATAACCGGACGCGAGAGAGAGATCAGATCAGCTGCTGCTGACGGAGAACACGCAGCTCTGCATGATCACAGCTCCGCCGCTGTGACGGACCGTTGAGCGAAGTAAAATACACAAGAGTTAGACCTAACACACTTAGCTAGTTGATCTACTCTGGAACTAGCTAAACTAGTTATACATATATTTATTCTTTACTGTCGGTTCACTTATTACAGGTTCAGCGAGCTGCACGAGACTGACGGGCTGTCAGGAGAGGGAGAGGAAAAGAGAGCACTCTTTATTTTTCCCATTTTATTATCCAGAGTTTCTGTAAACCTTTGAATAAAGTAGTTAATCTACTATTAGTAGTTTGTTTAAATGCATTAATTACGTTTTTTTTTGTTCATTAACATAAAATAAATCTCACGTACCCCCTGCAGTACTCCAACGTACCCCCCGCGTACACCCATTTGAGAACCACTGCCCTAAAGAGTACCCCAGAGAGCTAGAGAGTACCCCAGAGAGCACCCTCAAGAGTACCCCAGAGAGTACCCTAAAGAGTACCCCAGAGAGTAGAGAGTACCCCAGAGAGTACCCCAAATAGTAGAGAGTACCCCAGAGAGTAGAGAGTACTCCAAAACGTAGAGAGCACCCCAGAGAGTACCCCAGAGAGTAGAGAGTACCCCAGAGAATACCCTAAAGAGTAACCCAGAGAGCTAGAGAGTACGCCAGAGTACCCCAGAGAGTACTCTAAAGAGTACCCCAGAGAGTAGAGAGTACCCCAGAGAGTACCCCAAATAGTAGAGAGTACCCCAGAGAGTAGAGAGTACCCCAGAGAGTAGAGAGTACCCCAGAGAATACCCTAAAGAGTAACCCAGAGAGCTAGAGAGTATGCCAGAGAGTACCCCAGAGAGTACCCCAGAGAGTACCCTAAAGAGTACCCCAGAGAGTACCCTAAAGAGTACCCCAGAGAGTTTTCCCAGGTCGCCGAGGGTGCTGGCGTTGTTTGTTCGCCGCTCCTCCGCCACAAATCTTTAGTACTCCAAATAGTAGAGTACCCCAGAGAATACCCCAGAGAGTAGAGAGTACCCCAGAGAATACCCCAGAGAGTAGAGAGTACCCCAGAGAGTAGAGAGTACCCCAAAGAGTAGAGAGTACCCCAGAGAGTAGAGAGTACCCCCAAAAGTACCCCAAAGAGTAGAGAGTACCCCAGAGAGTACACTAAAGAGTACCGCATAGAGTACCCTAAAGAGTACCCCTGAGAGTCCCCCATAGAAGCTAGAGAGTACCCCAGAGTATATCCCAGAGAGTACCCAAGAGAGTACTCCAGAGAGTACCCTAAAGAGTACCCCAAAGAGTAGAGAGTACCTCAGAGATTCCCCCAGAGAGTCCCCCAGAGAGTACCCAAGAGAGTACCCCAAAGAGTACCCCAAAGAGTAGAGAGTACCCCAGAGAGTACCCAGAGAGTACCCAAGAGAGTACCCTAGAGAGTACCCCAGAGAGTATCCCAGAGAGTACCCCATAGAGTACCCCAGAGAGTACCCCAGAGAGTAGAGAGTATCCCAGAGAGTATTCCAGAGAATACCCAAGAGAGTACCCCAGAGAGTAGAGAGTACCCCAGAGAGTACCCCAGAGAGTAGAGAGTACCCCAGAGAGTACCCCAGAAAGTACCCCAGAGATTACCCTAGAGTACCCTAGAGCAGTGGTTCCCAAACTTTTTGTGCCCAAGGCACACCAAAGGACAAGTAAACATCTCAAAACACACCTATTGTGCAAAATAGCCCTTATAACACGTGTTATCACTCATATCATGTAAAATATCTGTAAATGTGCATAATTATTTACTAATGCCAAATAAAATGTGACAAAGACAACTATATTATTCATGAAATATCTATTAACGAAATATTTCAGAAATTAATTTGAAACGTTATCAAATTAGGCTTCATCAAAGCAGCAACACACTCATTTAAACCAGACAGGTCACAACATTAACATTTCAGCAATCAGCATTGAAACATGTGCTATTGTAAATATTTTGCCGACTTACAAATTAGTGAGATACATGTGCCTGTCGGGGTGCGCAGATTTTTGTTATCCTTGGTGGCACTGAGGAGAGGGCCACTCGCAAGTCCTATTCAACAGAGATCCGTGACCTCCTGTTGTTCTTCATGTAAATCAGAGTAGAGAACGCCAACTCCAGAGATGGGGTCGTTACTAATTTTTTTAAATATATTACATATTACTTTAAAAAAAGTAATATATTACACTATTTCGTTACTATCTACATAAAGTAACTCGTTACTTTACTCGCCGAGCACGTACGAACTTGCGCATGCCTGAGTGGCAATAACTCTCCTTACCAGCAGGCGGCGGTAGTGTGTATTTGTCATTCAAAACAGGCAACAACCGGAAAACAGAGAAGAAGAATAGACGACGTGATATAAACAAACAACAAATAGCGTGTGCGGTAGCTTCACCTTAGCATGTGTTCTTTGCAGGTGTTGTTGAGGTTTGACCACGTGGTGTTTCCAGCAGTGGATAACAGCTCCTGGCCTGGACACAGTTTGCACCTCACCGTCACATTCCTGTATATTCTTCGGACGAACTCAAAGTAATGGGCAGACCTCCACCCCTCGAAAGTTATCGCTGACTCAGCCATGTTTATGCAGCACTGCACGTGGAGATGTGGACGCGCAAGTCACGCAGATTACGTACATATAAACCTACAAAGTACTGATATTATAGTAAAAACATTATTATTTTTGTGTAGTTGTATATTGCAATAATAACATATGGTTGTCACAAAATCCCACGGCACACCCGGACTTGTCTCACGGCACACCAGTGTGCCGCGGCACACCGTTTGGGAACCACTGCCCTAGAGAGTACCCCAGAGAGTATCCCAGAGAGTACCCTCGAGGGTACCCAAGAAACTAGAGAGTACCCCAGAGAGTACCCCAAAGAGTAGAGAGTACCCCAGAGAGTAGAGAGTACCCCAAAGAGTAGAGAGTACCCCAGAGAGTATCCCAGAGAGTACTCCAGAGAGTAGAGAGTACCCCAAAGAGTAGAGAGTACCCCAGAGAGTAGAGAGTACCCCAGAGAGTCCCCCAGAGAGTTCCCCTAAGAGTACCCAAGAGAGTACCGTAGAGAGTACCGTAGAGAGTACCCCAGAAAGTAGAGAGTACCCCAGAGAGTACCCCAGAGTGTAGAGAGTACCCCAGAGAGTACCCCATAGAGTAGAGAGTACCCAGAGAGTAAAGAGTACCCCAAACAGTAGAGAGTACCCCAGAGAGTAGAGAGTACCCCAAAGAGTAGAGAGTACGTCAAAGAGTATCCCAGATAGTACCCAAGAGAGTAGAGAGTACCCCAAAGAGTAGAGAGTACCCCAGAGAGTAGAGAGTACCCCAAAGAGTATCCCAGAGAGTACCCAAGAGAGTAGAGAGTACCCCAGAGAGTAAATAGTATACCAGAGAGTAGAGAGTACCCCAGAGAGTATCCCAGAGAGTACTCCAGAGAGTAGAGAGTACCCCAGAGAGTAGAGAGTACCCCAGAGAGTACCCCAAAGAGTAGAGAGTACCCCAGAGAGTAGAGAGTACCCCAAAGAGTAGAGAGTACCCAAGATAGTATCCCAGAGAGTACTCCAGAGAGTAGAGAGTACCCCAAAGAGTAGAGAGTACCCCAGAGAGTAGAGAGTACCCCAGAGAGTATCCCAGAGAGTCCCCCAGAGAGTCCCCCTAAGAGTACCCAAGAGAGTACCGTAGAGAGTACCCCAGAAAGTAGAGAGTACCTCAGAGAGTACCCCAGAGTGTAGAGAGTACCCCAGAGAGTACCCCATAGAGTAGAGAGTACCCAGAGAGTAAAGAGTACCCCAAACAGTAGAGAGTACCCCAGAGAGTAGAGAGTACCCCAAAGAGTAGAGAGTACGTCAAAGAGTATCCCAGAGAGTACCCAAGAGAGTAGAGAGTACCCCAAAGAGTAGAGAGTACCCCAGAGAGTAGAGAGTACCCCAAAGAGTATCCCAGAGAGTACCCAAGATAGTAGAGAGTACCCCAGAGAGTACCCCAGAGAGTAGAGAGTACCCCAGAGAGTAAATAGTATACCAGAGAGTACCCAAGAGAGTAGAGAGTACCCCAAAGAGTAGAGAGTACCCCAGAGAGTAGAAAGTACCCCAGAGAGTAGAAAGTATCCCAGAGAGTATCCCAGAGAGTACCCCAGAGTACCCCAGAGAATACCGAGTACCCCAAAGAGTACCCCAGAGAATACCGAGTACCCCAGAGAGTAGAGAGTCCCCCAGAGAGTACCCTAGGGAGTACCTTAAACAGAAGCTTAACTCATATTTTCCATATCTTCATGCAAAACAGGTCTATGAAACACATGTTGTCTGCTGGTTAGTGATAGTTATTTCTCTTTCTATACTGTATTGAATGCACAGACTGCAAACTTTTTTGTAAACACTATATCTGTTTTGAGGTATATCAACAGGATTACTCCCCATTTGATCTACCTACTAATGATTCAATATATTTGTAGTGGTTCCTCTGTAAAACACTGCATTTGACTGTCTTATTACCACAAAGTGAACAAGCTGATCCATCAGAGGAGGGCCTCTGTATGTCAGGAGGCCGAGGATAGATTATGGATTTATGGACGGGGGAGGGGTGGTGCTTCCTTTTGGGTTTAATCCTCGCTTCATCTGCATACTGTAGAGGATTATTTTAGCATGCTGCTGTCCAAAAAACATCTGCTTATATTTGTAGTTTTGTCCATATATGTTAAATCCAACTCAAAAACATGTGATGATACAGAGAGCGGTTCTCTCACCTCAGAGTGATCACATACTCTCCAGCGTGAAGATCTGTAACCCTCCTGAGGAAGAAGAGGGAACATGTTCCTGTTAGTGTCACGTATTGATTAGTGCAGGATCTACAGATGTATTTAACCCTCCTGTTGTCCTGGGGTCATTTTACCCCAAGGGACATATTTTGCCGTGAAAATATATATAATATTCATCAAATGGTCTAAACATGATGGGGGTTGTTCAATGCTATACAGGAGAGGACTCTTTAAAGTAGAGACAGGGGACTCTTTAATGACCTGATCAGCAGTGAGATGACGTCCTCTTTCTGCAGCAGTTCGTAGTCGCCCCCGGAGGTCAGAGGTCGTCCGGCTCTGGCCCAGGTGCACCCTGGGAAAGGGTCTCCAGCCACAGCGCAGGACAGCAGGACGTGTTGACCCTGAACCGCTCTCACTGCTTTGGGCTTGGTGATGAACCACGGCTGCACCCCGTCCTGGGGCTCTGGAAACAAACACAAACAAATACTGCGGCTTCAGTAAAACATCTTGGGCTTGTTTTTAAGAATGTATTATCAGGAGGTCCCAGAACCAGGCGCTAAACATGCAATCCAGTTCGTAGTGTAAATGCAGTGTGATGGACTGTAAGGGATTGTTATGTTGATTGCAGTCAAAATATGTTTTATTTATCATTTGTATTTTGTATATCAATTTGAAACATTTTGACCATAATTATCAAATATCCACTCAAAGGTTTTTTGCGATATTTCTTCTGAATTGTCTTTTGTTTACGCTCATTCCTTTTGTGCTGAATTTCAAGATAATTCCAGAAGAGTTTGCGATAAACTGAAACAGATAATGATCCAGTGTTTGAGCCTCACCCTCCACGGTGAGGCGGCACTGGGTCCGGTCCTCTCCGAGCCGGTTCGATGCCCGGCAGCTGTACATCCCGGTGTCCTCTGGGAAAACCTCCTGGATCATCAGAGAGCAGAGAGTCCCGTCACGAAGGAGATGGAAATCCTCCGTCTCAGAAACCTGCTGTTCATCGTGGAACCAGACCACCTCAGGGGGGGGGAGACCTGGGAGAGGACCAGGGTTTCAGGGAAACTACTGAGATGAGTTTCTGCAGCATGGGCCGAGGAAGAACACAATAACCAGAGAGGGAACAAGTACACACATCCTTTACTCAAGTAGAAGTACACACATCCTTTACTCCAGTAGAAGTACACACATCCTTTACTCAAGTAGAAGTACACACATCCTGTACTCAAGCAGAAGTACACACATCCTTTACTCAAGTAGAAGTACACACATCCTTTACTCAAGTAGAAGTACACACATCCTGTACTCCAGTAGAAGTACACACATCCTTTACTCAAGTAGAAGTACACACATCCTGTACTCAAGCAGAAGTACACACATCCTGTACTCAAGCAGAAGTACACACATCCTTTACTCAAGTAGAAGTACACACATCCTGTACTCAAGCAGAAGTACACACATCCTTTACTCAAGTAGAAGTACACACATCCTTTACTCAAGTAGAAGTACACACATCCTTTACTCAAGTAGAAGTACACACATCCTTTACTCAAGTAGAAGTAAAGATACTCGTGTTTAAAGATACTCTGGTGAAAGTAGAAGTACTGACTAAACTTCTTTCCTCAAGTGAAAGTAAAGAGGCTTTGAAGTGTACTTCAGTAAAAAGTACCCATAACTAGCAGCTGTTTTAAAGAGTACCTGACCTCCCTTTATATTAATAGAACAATAATGTCATTGTTAGCTAATGAATGTTTCCATGCTGAACAACGGCAACATGACAACGTTTCCATTGGTCCCTCTTCTTTAGAGGAGACCAGGAAATGATGGATACACGGATCGTGTTCAAATCAATAGGCACGCAATGACTCTAAAGAATAATGATCACGCATCAAACACACATTCAGACTAAAGGAACCAGCTGTTTGGGAAATTGCTCCCATCACTCTTGTACTTATTTCTGTCATCTTATTGGTTAGCATCTAACCAAGTAGCAACAACATGTTCCCCTCTACCCACAAAACTAAGCAGAAGGAGAAAACTCTCTATTGTTGGAAACTTGGCTAAACATTTTTTGAATTGAATGAACCTTTTTTTTGGTGAATTTGTTTTTTTTGGTCAACTTTTTTTTTCTTTTGTCACCAAATGTTTATTTTTTTGTTGGCAGCTATTTTACCCCTGGTTTATCTCAACGATAGTGAACTTCTTAAAAAGATCCCTACATTTTAAAATATATAATTAGTTCTGAATACTAGTGTTTTTTAATGAAACCTCATACAAGGCAAGCAGTCCAGTTTAATTATAATGAGTGACAGCAGAGAGGCTCTCAGGTAGCAGCTTATATGGAGAAAACCCTCTGTGGAAAATCATTATGTAACACACACACATGCGCACACGCACACACACACACAACTGGGTTCATAATGTCCAGCCTTAAGCTATTGTTCACTTCTATAGTACCTGATAATCAATGCATAACTCTGTCAGAACACACACACACACACACACACACACACACACACATGCAATGAGGAAATGAAGAGCCCTGACTTAAATCTGTCCTCATCTCCAACATTTCTCTGGGGGTCTGACAGGAAATACCACAGCCAACACACACACACACACACACACACACACACACACACACACACACACACACACACACACACACACACACACACACACACACACACACACACACACACACACACACACACACACAACACACACACACACACACACACACACACACACACACACACACACACACACACACACACACACACACACACACACACACACACACACACACACACACACACACACACACACACACACACACACACACACACACACACACACACACACACACCGGTTAGCTCCACCGTCATGGTCACCGCGCTGCCGTCCATCACCTTCAGGTCTGCGAGACGGTAGAGGAATCGAGGCGCCTGATTGGCTCTGACCTCCGTGACCTTTGTGACCTTTGACCTGCTGCGGCCCTGCAGTGACCCTGAAACAAAAGCACATGAAGAAGAAACATCACACCTGTTCACCTGTTTAGAAACAAGAGAGAAGCACATTCACAGGTTAAGGGCCGTTCTGTAGTCCTTTCTTTACTTCCGGCACACAGTGACATCACTACATAACACTCACGCTCCTATTGGGTAGTGCTCCAACACATTGTAAGTGATAGGCTAAGGGGGCGGGACATCTCTAAACCATCGACCAATCACAACAACTTTTTTTTCTCTCTTCAGTAAGTGGAGACTCTAGAGGCTTCTCAATACTCAAATTTCCCCTCCTCGACTCCTCGACTCCTCGGTCCTCCGGTAGTGACCCGGAAATGAATTTTAGCGCACCATGTTGAAGGACATCTAATTTCTCTAAATGCACTTCGAGGACCGAGGATCGAGCGTCGAGGAGTCTCTCTGGAGGAGCTCTAACCGAGGAGAGAGGAGAGAGGAGAGAGGAGAGAGGAGGCTCTCTGGAGGAGCTATAACAGAGGAGAGAGGAGAGAGGAGAGAGGAGGCTCTCTGGAGGAGCTATAACCGAGGAGAGAGGAAAGAGGAGAGAGGAGGCTCTCTGGAGGAGCTCTAACCGAGGAGAGAGGAGAGAGGAGAGAGGAGAGAGGAGGCTCTCTGGAGGAGCTATAACCGAGGAGACACTGATGGGTCCTCCACGGTCCTCCACGGCTCCTTCGCGGATGCATTTTCCCCTCCTCGGTCCTCCGCTCGCATCTCCTGTGGGCGACACCAAGTCTCGAGGAGGGGACATTTAAGAATTGAGAAGCCTCTTCTGTGTACTTTAATAATTATGTGTCTCCTCTCTGGCATGCCTGAGATGTACACAGAACAAATCCTGTTTCCACACACACATGTGTGTGTGTGTGTGTGTGTGTGTGTGTGTGTGTGTGTGTGTGTGTGTGTGTGTGTGTGTGTCGGGGGATTTCCTGCTGCAGGAGGGTTTTCTCCCTCTGACTGAATTCCCTTATAAAGAAAGGAAACCCATCCCAAAGGCACGCGGCTAAGTGACCACTAATGCAAAACCAATCACATTCAGTTTTATGGTGGTCTCTCTCTCAGAGGTTAGCATCTCTCTCTCAGAGAGACACTTCGCCGGGTTGATAATCAGGCCGTGTTGGTTGAGCCTCGCGAAAAGGACCCGGATATGTGCCTGGTGCTCTTCGGAGGAGGAGCTGGCGACCAGGATGTCGTCTAAATAGACGAAGATGAATGGCATGTCTCTGAGCGCTGAATCAATCAGCCGCTGAAAGGACTGAGCTGCGTTCTTAAGTCCAAACGGAATACGCAGGAACTCGAAAAGCCCAAACGGTGTAATTACCGCAGTTTTGGGGACGTCCGAGGGGTGCACCGGAACCTGGTGGTAGCCCCGCACCAGATCCACCTTGGAGAAGACCAGCTTGCCCGCCAGATGTGCAGAGAAGTCCTGGATGTGAGGGACCGGGTAGCGGTCTGGCGTAGTGGCGTCGTTAAGGCGGCGGTAGTCACCACACGGTCGCTAGCCACCGGCTGATTTAGGGACCATGTGAAGCGGCGAAGCCCAAGGGCTGTCTGAGTGGCGGATGATGCCCAGACGCTCCATGTTCACGAATTTCGCCTTGGCGACTGCCAGCATGTCAGGGTTGATCCGCCGGGCCCTAGCGTAGACAGGGGGGCCTTCCGTGTCAATGTGGTGCTCTACCCCGTGTTTGGTAGTGGCAGCGGAAAAGGTGGGCTGCATCAAGTCGGGAAACTCACTGAGAAGGTGCTGGAACTTGTCGCCCTGTGAGAGTGAGCTGGAGAGCCCGCTGAATGATGCCTCGCCGCGGGTACACATGAACGAGGCAAACGTCAGTGCGTCCACCAGGCGGCTGTTCTTGACGTCCACCAGCAGTCCGTGAGCGCACAGGAAGTCTGCGCCGAGGAGGGCGAAGGAGATGTCAGCCGTGACGAAATCCCACTTAAACCGCTGACCCTCGAAGCACAGGTCCACTGTCTTTGTGCCAAAGGTGCAAATAGGGGTGTCGTTAGCGGACCTTAAAGGTGGGCCGTGGCCTCCACCGGCGGCGTCCTCCACAGTAGCCGGCAGGACGCTCCGCTGGGCTCCTGTGTCACAAAGGTGTCTGCGACTAGAGAGGGTGTCCCTGATGAACAGGAGCCGGTTGGATGTGCCCACGCTCGCGGCCACTACCGAGCGCAGGCCTTGGCGTTTCCCGTTACCTTGTAGGTGCAGGGAGGACGGCACATCTTCGTTTTCGCCCCGTAGCGTGCATGGTAATAACACAGGCTGGAGTTGCTGACGTCGGCCCAGGAGCTTCTGCTAGATGGCATGCCTGTACCAGGAAAGGTGCCGCTGCGTGTCGGGGCCAGCACCTCCGGGGCAAAACGCTGGGTTGTCAGGGAGTACCGGTCAGCTTCTTCGGCCAAAGCGCGGGGCTCAGTAATAGCCGTGTTAGCGAGCGCTGTCTGTACATGCGGCGGCATGTGCCGAAGAAACAGTTCTATGAACAAAAAAGTAGGTTCTTCCGTACCCAGCAGGCTGAGCATCATCTCCATGTGATCGGAAGGCTTGTTGTCCCCCAGGCTATGAATAGCGAGCAGGCGTCGGGCCCGTTCTGACAGCTCGAAAGTATTTAGCAGGAAAGCCTTGAACGCTGCATATTTATCCTGGGCAGGAAGAGATGTAATAAAGCCCACCGTCCGGGTCGCAGTGGAGCTCCCCGGCGCCGAAACGACGTGAAAATAGTGCGTGTGTGTCAGTCACTCCGCGGAGGGCGAACTGAGCCTCTGCCTGAGCGGACCATGCAGCCGCAGATGTCTCCCAAAACTCCGGCAGTTTGAAAAAAACGGCGTTACTTGCCATGCTCGGTTCAGTCTCGGATCCTTCAACGAGACTTATGTCGCGGTCACCAATGTAGTGCCGAGAGACGGGAGGCGGAGGCGGGGTATCGAAGTTAAAAGCTACACTTTTATTTAGCATCTGAACAATACCCCTACCCATAGATCCGTGGGTGAATAATGTCAATCACCACAATACAATAATATTCAATCCCTATTACACAGCTTATCAAACTCACCACACACACCAATAGTCTCCTGGTGGTCATACTACAGGAAGGAGAAGAAGAAGAATATGCTTTTGAATCATTTTGGGGAATATTTATAATGTAAATCTTCAATAAATATGGCATCATCTTCAATAACTTTACTATCATACAGTATATTTCTACCAAACTCACTATTTGCATTGTTGTCGTTAGCATCTGGTTAGCTAGCTGCGCTAACGGATATTAGAAGCTGTTTCTCAAACAAGGAGAGGGAGAGCTCTGTCCTATCGGACTGAGAGAGAACTACAGCTCAGTGAGGTAAGGGACTGTTTAGATACTTTAGTCTAGTTATCTCAGTGGCTCTCAAACGCTTTGGTACCATTTATGAGAATAAATGAAAAACAGGTTTGAAATACTATGATAGTAAAACAAGAATACAGTTTGAAGGTAAGTGATTTGTAAAGTATCCATAAAGAAAAAGAACACCTGTTTCCAGTTGTGTTTCATCTGGTTCTGAGAGATGTCTCCATAGATCTCTGAATGCTCTCTCAAAGGGCACCAGGTTGATGCTTTCACTTCAATATTTAACAATAATCTTTCCAGGGGAGCATGCCCCCGGACCCCCTAGAGGAGGTGAGGAGGTGAGGACCCCCCTAGAGGAGGTGAGGACCCCCTAGAGGAGGTGAGGACCCTCGTAGAGGAGGTGAGGACCCCCCTAGAGGAGGTGAAGACCTCCTAGAGGAGGTGAGGACCCCCCTAGAGGAGGTGAGGACCCTCGTAGAGGAGGTGAGGACCCCCCTAGAGGAGGTGAGGACCCCCCTAGAGGAGGTTAGGACCCTCGTAAAGGAGGTGAGGACCCCCCCCATAAAATATCACTTCACCTCTGCTTACACCTATATGCCGTGTTTCATGCTGTGAGCTGATTATCGAGCCTTCATTGTAGGAGTCGCGGGTACACTGTGTGTGTGTGTGTGCTGTACACTGTGTGTGTGTGTGTGTGCTGTACACTGTGTGTGTACTGTACACTGTGTGTGCTGTACACTGTGTGTGTGCTGTACACTGTGTGTGCTGTACACTGTGTGTGCTGTACACTGTGTGTGCTGTACACTGTGTGTGTACTGTACACTGTGTGTGCTGTACACTGTGTGTGTGCTGTACACTGTGTGTGTGCTGTACACTGTGTGTGTGCTGTACACTGTGTGTGTGCTGTACACTGTGTGTGTGCTGTACACTCTGTGTGTACTGTACACTGTGTGTACTGTACACTGTGTGTGTGTGTGTGTGTGTGTGTGTGTTGTACACTGTGTGTGTGTGTGTGTGTGTGTGTGTGTGTGTGTGTGTGTACTGTACACTGTGTGTGTACTGTACACTGTGTGTGTGCTGTACACTGTGTGTGTGCTGTACACTGTGTGTGTGATGTACACTGTGTGTGTGATGTACACTGTGTGTGTGTGTGTGCTGTACATTGTGTGTGTGTGCTGTACACTGTGTGTGTGTACTGTACACTGTGTGTGTGCTGTACACTGTGTGTGTGTGTGTGTGTGCTGTACACTGTGTGTGTGTGTGTGTACTGTGTGTGCTGTACACTGTGTGTGCTGTACACTGTGTGTGTGTACTGTACACTGTGTGTGTGTACTGTACACTGTGTGTGTACTGTACACTGTGTGTGTGTGTGCTGTACACTGTGTGCGTGCTGTACACTGTGTGTGTGTGCTGTACACTGTGTGTGTGTGTGCTGTACACTGTGTGTGTGTGTGTGTGTGTGTGTGTGTGTGTGTGTGTGTGTGTGATGTACACTGTGTTTGTGCTGTACACTGTGTGTGTGCTGTACACTGTGTGTGTGTACTGTACACTGTGTGTGCTGTACACTGTGTGTGTGCTGTACACTGTGTGTACTGTACACTGTGTGTGTGTTGTACACTGTGTGTGTGTGTGTGTGTACTGTACACTGTGTGTGTGCTGTA